ATTCCCATGTAGTTTCCCTGGGAGGAAAAGATGTATAATAATAAGGTTATTATGAGGATACTGCAAAGTATGCACTCAGACAGTACGCATTCGCATCGACCTCCACTGCGCTAACCTCATAATACCCTCCCCTGCACCGTCTGTCATCTGCTGTTTCAATCTCAGTGCAAGTTTCAATGTACTGGGACATTATGGTCAGGATTACCAACGCTCAAACTTGATTTATTGTTTATCAGCTGTTTTAGAACTTTTGAAAAATTTCACTGATTTATATACCAAAAATATCAGTGGTCATCAACAAGTTATGTCAAGTTTCCTGGCCACTGATCTTAAAAAACTGATCACATCTTCTGGTCGTTAGTACAGGTTACTTTTCTAAAGGTATCGATAATTTGAGTGCACAACTACATTTGCTAGATAGTTTTATAGCTTTCATGATTACATAAGAGAGTTTTTTTTGCCATCTGGTTGAGTAAAAAACAAGCACTAAGAATTTGTATTAATGGAAAGTATGTTCAGAGATTTTTTTAAACAAGGGAACAGGGCGCAGCGCCCTCATGCCATGGCCATGCGCCCCCTGGGATCACATGTGGCCACAGTTTTCAACTGTGATCTGTCTGATAGTAATTTTGTAAGTAACAACATCACAAACAGCTGATTTGAGCAAAATAGTACCCATGTTGTTCGTAATAAAACCAAAAATTTAAATAATAAATTCAGAAATCTGTTTTGTTCTCACTGTATGTTCTCTTCTAATATAGGTGGATGGAGTTCTTGCTGCTGTTGATGCTACCGTGGCAACAGAGGTTGCTAAGCGCTATGAGGTCAAAGGTTACCCCACAGTTAAATACTTCAAGTGAGTGTACAGATATGATTGAGACATTTCAAAATTTTCTTCAAACTACTGTTATCATATTTAATTTTTCACTGGTTTTTAATTTCACTAATTTCCCTTATAAAAAAAAAATTTAAATAAAATTTTTGTGACTCGTTTCTCCGCCAAGTTCCAGTTCCAGTGAAATTGCTCAAAACATGAAATGCAGACTACAAATGGGACTATTTTGTAAATTTGTGATAATAAAAAGGGAACTGGTGGTGAAAAGGTTACATTAAAATGAATCCCATGTCTAGCAAATGTTCAATGGTAACCTGTAAGATAACTATTAATGACATTGTGAAAACGTTTTTGTCGTAAAAGTTGTTATTGTGGTTTAAAGAGTGGATATTTCAAAGTGGAGGTGTCGCATGTACAGGTGACGACTCCCTTGCTTTAAAAACAGTCATGGAAATACCCAAAGCATAATGGTATTAGCCAGAATAGCTAAATCTATTCAGTCTGTTTATAAGGCCAAAAACAAAATTTTGTTGCCCTCAAACCGACTGAAAAATATGAAATATCGGGTCGCGTTTTTTGACTCCCATGTGCGAAGCACAAAATGGGAGTCTTTGCAGTTAGTGTGTCTGTATGTGTGTATGTGTGTATGTGTGTGTGTGTGTGTGTATGTGTGTATGTGTGTCCGACTGTTCCACTGCTATCTCAAGAACCATACATCGGTTTTTGATGAAACTTGGTGCATAGATGCTCTGGGCCAATGCGCAGATTTGATTAAGTTTTGGTAAAAATCCATGCTCGTTAATTACCTAATTTGCATGATAATTAGCTAATTTTTAGCTGTTCTATGACTG